TACAATACGTTACAGAAAGTCTAACGAAAATGCCAACGCGGATGCGCCTTGCAGATTGCCAGCGGGAAACGACCCGGAATTCGATGAGGAGGAAAGTAGCTGGGAAAATATCGCTTATCAGATCACAGTAGAAGGGTTTCCGCTGAATGCTGAAATCGTCAAGGAGTATACGAAGAAAGAATACTTAAACGCATTTGCAATTATGTAAGAAACGGTTGGCCCGTCAACATTTCGAAATCTGAAGGTAAACTCCTACCATATATTAATCGAAATTTTTCGTTATCCTTACAGAGTGATGTACTACTCCTTTACACTGAGCATACAAGAGTAGTAATCCCAAGCGCCTTACGGAATAAGGTACTGGCAATGCTGCATGAGGGTCATTGGGGAAAAAGTCGAATGAAGCAGATGGCAAGGCGTTACGTATGGTTCTCTGGCATCGACAAGGACATAGAACGTATTCACGACAATTGCTTTATTTGCCAGACAAATGGGAGGCAACCCAAACGGGAATTTTCGACCTGGCCCGAACCTATGACACCGTGGGAAAGAGTCCATGTGGATTTTGCGGGACCATTTTTTAATCGAATGTGGCTGCTTCTGGTGGATGCTTATTCAAAATTCCCGTACATCTTGGAAGTTGCACATCATCAATATCAACAATCGCAGCACTACAACGTATTTTCTCAATTGAGGGACTGCCTTGCACTATCGTCTCGGACAACGGACCCCAATTCACGGCACACGAATTTGAAAGTTTCTGCAAGCTGAATAATATCCAGCACCTCACCACTCCTCCGTTCCATCCAGCATCCAACGGCCTTGCAGAGAGAAATGTGCGAACATTCAAAGAAGCGTTCAGCAAAATAATGAAAGAGGGACAACAAGTGGAGCGAGCGCTCTATAAATATCTCACGACATATCGAACGACCCCGAGTCCCTTGACGGGTAAATCACCGGCTGAGCTGTTGCATGGACGACAGCCACGAACCGTACTGTCGACTTTGTTCCCCGTAGTCAATGAGAAAATATGTAACCCGAAACCAAGGAAATTCAAAAGTGGAGAACAAGTCTTTGCGCGAAATTATTCTGGTGCCTTCGATGGGTCGAGGCCAAAGTACTGAAGTGTGAGGGAAATAAGCTATATGTCTTGCAGACCCCTACTGGTTGGATCCGCCGGCATCAAAACCAGCTGAGAGGTAACAAACTAAATGAGTCGTCAGAACAAGTCGATGTTGACATTGATTTGGAACCTGCGGACTCCTTATCGAGAAAAAATAGTACACAAGTGCCTCGCGATGAACCACCTCATCACTCAACTGCGAAGACGCCGCCTAATAACGAGCAGACATATCGTCAGTTACCGAAAACCAGTACCAATTCACCATTAACGCCGCTCAGACGTTCGCAAAGGATAAGAATGAAACCTGTTAAATTAAATCTTTAAAAAATATATATTAATTTTGTAATATATACAGAAAATTAAGCCCAGGGGAATGTAAGAAGTGTAAAACCTTCTGGCAACCCTATTTAGGAACTTCCATTGTAAATCAACGTGGCAGCACTTGGGTAACCTTTTTGACTTTCAAGTCATTCCATTGCTTTTGCTGCTAATAGCTACCACGCGGTTTTACAAGTCGTTCAATTAGACAAATTAATCTTAAGGAATCTGCTGTAACTTGAATTGCATTTATTGAATAAACTGTTCCGTAAATTAACAGTCTTGATTATTAAAAGGCAATAAGATGACCATCGAAAAAGAAAATAAACCTAAGAATGGCGGCTTCTTGCGCTTATTTGCAAATAGTACCACTAATCAATACTTATTTGCGTGATTTTGTTGTAAAAAATTAACTCAGCGTCTATACGGCAAAATTTACCATTTTGCAAATTGTTATTTGCAAATAATACGTGCGTATAAACGTAGTATATGATAGAATACAAGATTGCGCCGATTGCAGCAGAATTCGTGGGAGTAATTTTGGCGTGACGTCACCGTAGAGTTGACTACTAGGAGCGGTAAATAAAACTGCTGTCTAGTGACGTGCTGAATTGTCGGTACCCAATACTTAAAAAAGGTTTCGGTACCCACTACTTCCTTATCGGTACCCGATACTGGTTCTTTACATTAAACCTTCCCCATTATAGGGCATTCGCACGCGGCGATTTTACAGACACTTGTAGCATCTTTTCACGGTTTGCCCATCATAGACGGGGCATCGATCCCACCCAATATTAAGTCTCTTTGACTCCAATACCTGCAGGAAGTATTTGTGCTCAATTTCTACTATTGCACTGAATGAAGGAAATGCCTCACCACTGCGCCTGGACTTTAATATATTTACACATTTCAAACTCGCATCATTTAAATAGCTGTTCTGAGCTTTTATCTTATATATTATCCTCGCCTCAGCATATTCAGCGTTTATGTGCGCTAACAAAATTTTAGGCGTATTAACTTTGGGTTCGGTGATGTCGTACACTTCTTTATTTAAGTTGTCTGCTAGAGCAGATTTTATTCTGTCCTTATCTGAAACACTATTTGCGTTTATAACCACTGCCCCGTTATTCTTATTTGACACTCTATCATTTTTCATATCAGATGCATCGATCTTATTAAGGTCCACCCTAGTCTTCTCAGCCGCTTGTTTTTTTTTTTTGGTCTGATAATTATAGGAGGAACACCTTCCAATGCATTAGCATACGATACACCCACACCACTTTGTGCTTTCTCTTGGCTTATAGTTGTCACTTTCTTCACCTCGCTAATTATTTCTTGTTTGCATAGCTCACTAGTGGATGAATCTACCCTATCCATTTTCTCTTTGTTTACTTTACACAGCCCCTCTACTCTTTTTATTGCATCAAGTTTTTCTTGGTTTGCCTTCTTTATACTATTAACCAACATTTTTACCTCCTTGCTGTGACTTTTTAACATTTTTTCAATATATGTCTTTTGTTCTATTATATTCATTTTGTTGGCCTCAGCTATACCTATCATTTCAAGAGCTTCATACACATTGGCTATGTACATCATGCAGTTGTCGCACAATAAGCGTAGGAGCGGACAGTTTTCTAGTGCCTTCAGACTATAATCGTCAGCCGACGCACATGCTTGCGTTCTATGGTACACTTTCCCACACACACCTTGGCAACGCACACCCGCCTCTCCTCTGACGCCTTTTCGGCATTTCGCGCATTCTGACATCTTCGCACTCACTCAGCAGCCGCTATGTTTGGATGAATATGCGTATATACATACGCATGTATGTACATCAACTTAAATGCGCGCTATTATTTGTCAATTATATTTGATACACATTAATATTGCTGCTTGGAGCGCTCTGAGCATTGCCGCCGAATAATAGTTTTACTTAGGAATGCATCACTGGTCCTTGTTCTTGCTGTATTGCATGGCGGGGAGTTTACGTTTCTCAGAAATTTGACAACAGAACAAAATGAAGGAAAGTATTTTGTCTGCTAATTTTTGCTATTTATATTGTTTAATGTAAATTTATTTATTTTCAGAATATGCTGAGGAAAATGAAGCTATTACTATGGAAGTAACAGCGCAAACACATTTGGAAAAGTATGCGGATAAGCAGGTTCGAATTTCGGAAAGTGAGTCTGTCTTGTTGCAGCATTATTATTATTGTATTCAAAAGGCATAATTAAATGAAATTCTGTTTAATAGGCATGTTGTAAATGCTTTATACTCGTGTGGCGTTATTTACGATGTGCTCCAAACATGCTAAATGCCAAATAGTAGGGAGCTTGTATTCACAATTGCCAGAAGAATGTCGAAATTCCATTGACGGGACCGGTAGTCGACGAAGGTGGTAAATTTGGTGCTAGTGGTGGCGCTGAAGCTAATGCCTCAGGCGATGGTAAAGGTTATCCTGAAATTGCCGCTATACCGCATGATCCCTAGCTGATGGAGAAACGGTACTAACATCAGTTTCAGAGCCTTCACCCATAGCCCCCTACCTACTGTAGATGAGGTTCTTGATAATCCGAGCAAATTGTCAAGTCCTCCAGTAAATAAAGAAAAACCTGGTGGTTTCGAGACATATGTGCTTCGAACACGGCCCAAACGAATATATATATAAATATATACATGAGCTAATAACAAAGAACGTACGTTCTTTACTAATAAGGAAGGCGGAGAAATACGTGATGTTCGCTGGCACAGCTTTCAATTTTGATGATGTAAAAGCAGCTATAGATAATCTTCAGATCACAATTTATTTAAAGTAAATCTACCAGCCCTGTCGCCAATTCCATGTAAATAAGTCGCTCCCATAACTTAATTTGTACATTTAATATATTTCACAATCAACTCAAATACTAAATTACATATATTTGGGCAGCCGCTTCGATACAGTAAAATAAAAAAATGGGTAATAATAAAATCAATATTCTTAATACATTTATATTTCAGTTAAACATGAGTTGTTCAAGCGCACTTCAATATTTTTCTATCCATTTCTAAAATAATTTTCACCACATTAAATTGCTGCTAACACCCCAATTGCCAAAAAAGCGTTGCCTACAACCCTAGTCCTTTATGGGGACCAAATTTGGTGAAAACACACAGCTCAGTTTGTTTATTTGATATACTGAGATGCCCCCTTTTTCTTTTTATCTAGCCCTATTTTTTACTTATGCCCAAACAATTTAGGTTTTCGCAGTTGTTTTCCTAAATTGTAGCAGTGCTGGGAATTTTCAGTGGAATATTAGTTTACGTCCTAAAATTTAGGTCAACACGCACACAGCCTTAAAGTTAATTGATTTTTTACATATAGGGGATTCCCTTAAACTCGTAAAGGCTTAAACTGTGTAAAACTCGTAAGTTTACGAGGCTTTTATTGGAACGCCTCCTTTGTGAAAAGGTGCGTTAACTGACTGTTTGATAGATAAACCAGGATTTTGTGAAACAATCTACGTTTCGTAGTATTTTCCATAACATCCCGCCATCTTGTCTCTATCACTATTGGCTAAAATAAAATTGAAAATGCAGAAAATTAGCAGAAAACCCATGTTAGTACAATTAATAGATGGAATTCATTCTTTTTATTTACATATTATTATTTTTCAATTGATTTCAATATTATAAAATGCATTTTAGTGTATAATTTTCCGCTTCTCGGAATTTTACGAGGGGCTCGTAAATAGAACATACCATACAAATCTTGGCAGTTCTTTTACGAGGTTTACGAGCCTTTTACGAGTTTAAGGGGAGCCCCTATAATTTTGGATGGGTTATCTGTCAATAAATTTACAACTAATTTTAAGCACCAACTTAAGTTTGACTACAAATACGCCCCAATTAGATCTTTATCTTTTTCAAAATAAACGAATAACGATAGACTATCGATAATTTAAAGGAAATATCGCCCACTATTGATACTGCCCATGGTGAAACGAATACAGAAGGTGGAGCTGATTGTGATACCGCAACTCTCTTGAAAATTTTGACAGAAATATGACGTCATAGGAGTTTTTGTATATTGCCTGTGTGATGTACATATACATATGCAAAACATAAAAATACTGATAGATCTCTCTTAGCTCTCTCCACCGGGAAATCTGCATGACGTCAATCTCACGTTACTCTCCCGAATTTCACATCAATCAGCGCAATCTTATAGTTTTTTAGACAGGTGGCATTCTAAGTCTCCTGTCGATACAGAGTATATTAAAGAAAATATCGTCAAAATCCGATCAGTAGTTTTCGAGATTACCGCGTACAAAAAAGCTCGCCTTTCCTTTATACTCAGGCAGGTTCTGCAATTCACTTCCGAGTGAATTTGAACCAAATTCACTCTGAATCCGACATTTGGTGTTCTGTGTTTCACTTTCCGAGTTTCATTTCCACATTTTTTTTTTAAATGAATTCCCACTGAATTTGGATGTTCTGATAAACGAATCCGCGAAAAAATCTTCAAATTTCATTCACTTCGTTTCAAGTTTGTGGATTTTATGCATACAAACTAATTTTAAATTGGCGGTTGTGATCGTGACGAAAATGTGAGTAAATTTAAAATTAATAATGAGATATATTAATAAAAAAAACTAATAAGAAGGATTGGAGTAACAAATTTTACATAAATTAATTGTTTCAGGGGAAAACATAAGAATTCCAAACAGGAGGCGATCCTTCTTAAATTTATGGAAGACCACAAGGACATTGCACGGGGCTACGTAAAGGGTGACAAAACGAAAGTGGACGCACTGTGGAAAGACTTAATCGTCGAACTGAACGAGCATGGTCCTCCCCAAAAGGATGTTTCTGGCTGGAAAAAAGTATATAAAAAATATATTTAAAAGAAGTTTACTTTTTGATGCGAAAATGCGAAACGCAAAAATTAGCGTTTGTTTTGTTGCTTTGCTGTGCGTTTGTGCGAAACGACGCCATAACGGTGCCATATTTTTGTTGCAAAAAACTGCTGATTTTCCCACTTTCGCTAAAACGCACACAGTTTCACATCAAAGAGTGAACTCTAGTATACTAATTGGCTATACAAAATATTTTGTAATCGAAATATAATAGGTTTGGATGGATTGTAAGGCGTTCATCTGGAAAAAGTAGCGCATAATATCTCGGACGCCAGAGCAACTTTTTCACGACCATTTAACAAGCATGTCCTTACACCAACAGAAGATGCAATAGCCCAAAAAACTCCTATGACGCAACCTCCGAAAGCTCCGACGAAGATGCTGTGCCATCCACAAGCCGTGCAGCTATAGCAACGCGATCCCGTCGGCGGGAACCTATTGTGCCTGATGCTCTAAAGTCGAATATTAGCGAGCAAGCAAATGCTATGAATGCCTTAGCAGAAGGACTTAGTTGCGCTACAAAATTGCCGCAAGGTTTCCCTTTTTGTGCAAATGGCTTTCCATACAAATTTTGACATTTCATTTGCGAGGGTTTAAAATTGCACAGTTTGCCCAGTTTGCGAGAGCTTTGCGCTTTTAAATGAGTACCCTTAATGTACATACATATATATGTTATGGTTTAAATATGAATGTGAACTTTATTTTATTAAATAGTGAGTTGCATTTAATTTTATTGAAGTGAATATAAATATGAGCATTTTATTCAATAAGGCGATTTAAACTTTCAGGAAATTGTATCACTTAAAGTATTAAAATAAGTAGCTCATGAATTCGAGAGGAGGCGCGTCGCGATATCCTCCCTTATCATTATAGCCTCGCCATCAAGAGTAGCTTCGTTCATTATTCCTTCAAAAAACAGGTTCATTTTCCTCGTCCATAGGTTCAGCCTCAACTAACTCCTGCACTTTATAATGTTTACAGATATTATGTAACAAACATTTGTAATTTGCACCACCTTTTCAGGTTGATATTGTAGAGATCGACAAAGGCACCTAAATCGGATTTTCAGAACACCTATTGTTCTTTCTACAACATTCCGCGCTGAAGAATGCTTCTGATTAAATATGTGCTGTGCTGTCCCAACATTTGGGTCTCTGAATGGGGTTAACAAAAAAGGTTGAAGTGCGTACCCAGCATCACCTAAAAGCCACGAGCCGCGTTCACCGTTATCGTAATTGCGTTTGAAGTAATCATGAGCTCTTCTAACACTCCATATTAAAGCATCATGACTTGAACCAGGACGACGAGCGTCAACTGCTCTGATTACCATATTGTAATCACATATCTACAAAAATATATTTAAAAAATTGAGTTAATTCGAGCATAATTGTTGCAATAAGTTAAATAAGCACTTACAATCATTGCATTGATGCTAAAATAACCTTTTCTGTTATAAAATCATTTTGAATACTGCTCAACGATACTATATACATGTTGCAATAAATCACAAATAGAGAGAATACAGAAGTTACAAAAGTGTATGAGATGTATAATCAGATGCAGCATATATACCCCAGTAAGGCTAATGCTGGAAACATTGAAATGGCTAAGCATCGACCAAAAATTGAAGCTTAACACGCTAATAATGATATATAAAATCAAGAAGAACCTGGCTCCGTGATATCTAACTAAGTGCATCCAATATTTAGAATGACTTTCGACTTGGATTGCAAAGGACTACTATAGCGCAAAACACATTAATGTATAAAGGCTTAAGTCTTTTTAATTCCCTGCCGAACAACGTGAAACATGGAAACAATTTTCTGACTTTTAAAACAATGTGCATTAATTTTGTAAAAGGCTAGAACTACTTTTATTATTTCCTGTAATAATATGTGCTAAAAAGCTACCTACGTACCGAAGTTTTAGCAAATCGGACCGTAAATACGATTTTTTCGAATAGATCGGTCTCTGGTCCACTTCTCGGAAAAAATGGATCATAGATGCTAAAATATGCTAAAAAGCTACCTGCGTACCGAATTTTAAGCAAATCGGTCCGTAAATACGGATTTTAGAAATATATCGAATGCAGCGCCACCTATCGACATTAGTTTTGTTCTATAACACTCCCAGTGATTATATGCACCTACCGTAAAAATTTCACTAAAATCGGTTGGGTACTTTTGACGCCTATAAAGGACATACAGACCAACATTCATTTTTATATATATAGATATACATGATTTCCGAAGTATAAGCTTTTTAAAATAGTGAAAATTCTACTTTTACCATACCCTAGCACCGCCTCTAGTAATTTGCATCAAACATTTTTTATACCATTAGAATTAATGAAAGAAGGCGAACTATGCCCACTGTTTCTTTTAATCTAGCCCTATTTTTTACTTATGCCCAAACAATTTAGCTTGTCAAGTGAATTCGCACAGTTTTGGCAGTTGTTTTCCTAAATTGTAGCAGTGCTGGAAATGTTTAGTGGAATATTAGTTTATAGGCCTTTCGCACGCGGCGATTTTTCAGGCAACAAAAGTTGAATGCGGAGTTGAATGAGAAGTTGAAAGTGAAAAAGTTGCTATCCCTATTCAGACGAGGCGATTTTCAATTCAACACGAATAGTTATTTACATTATTTAAAATGAATTTAAATCGCAAAATTTTATCAATTGGCGTAAATTTGGTAAGCCAAGCGTTGGTAGAAGTGCTTTTAGCGAAGCTGAAAGATAAAATAAGAGTAAAAAGTAGAAAAGAAGAAAAAGTATGTATACAGAACAGTGTTGGCATTTTTGGTACAATTGTACTTGTTTGATACAATTTCATTTACAATATACTTTCCTACTACGCAGTACTTTTTAATACAATTTTGTAATGAATACTAAAAATATATAGCTCTGAAAATTCACAGCAAGAAATTTTTTGTATTCTCTTTTGTT